TGCTCTTCGTGAGACACATATGCTGGTGATAGCAAGCTTGGGGAGGGGGGGGGGGGGGGGGTCACGGCACAGGGTCAGCCAGCATGCAGCACCCCTTGAGCTGGGGGTTAAGAGCCTTATTTAAGGGTTATCAGACATTTGACCTATCCTCCAGGGCTCCAATCAGCGACCATCCAATCACAGACACTGAAGCTTAGGCTACTCAGCCACTCACTGCCCTAGAGATGCAGTCCTGGAGATGTACGTCCTACGCTGAAGGTTATTTAGGTTTGTTAAGCAGATGTTCAGGTCTGTTTAATTAAATCCTGTGACTGGGGACTGCGGGGGGGTCTATAGCTGACAGCAGAAGCTGACAAAATACCCGCAGAGTTAAAGTGTGTGTACAGAAGAGGGAGTGTGTTCACTGGGGGGGCGGGGGGAGCAGACATATCACAATAGGATGCTCTTTTTGCTCCTGATGTGCAGCTATACAAAGGAGGGGCCACAGGGGCACTTGCCCCCGCTGAAATCTGATTGGTCCCCAGGGTGCCCCCTACCCTGTCACTCACCAATCCAAAACATACCATTGGCTAACTATAAAGTTGACCCCCCCCCCCCGCATGAATTACAGTCCCTCATATGCACTTTCAAAAACAATCCAATAATTGCACCTGTGTGTAACGAAAATAAAAATGACATTATGGTCAGTTATGTAAAATATGATCCAGAAATGGTGGAACGGATTTCACTGACGTACCCTTCCAGCACTGACGCAGAGGAAAGCTCTTTTTTTGGATTTTGAGGGGTGGGGTTAGACTGTGGAATCTTGGCTTATCGCCATCCAGGTGTCTTGGGCGACAGGGAGGGGGCACATCAGCCAGGATCGGGTCACTGTGCCTGTGAGGGTTAGAGAACGACCGGCCGTCTGTGATTTTCATTGCCATCTCCAGTATAAACAGAGGCTGGTGTGTTGTGTGTTTTTTGTTTTGTTTTGATAATCGCAGCGATCACCAGGTTGTGAGGACCCCCATCCTCACCCCCCAGGACAAATATCTTCCAGGGTAAACTCCTAAGACAAGGACACAGAAGACCCAGGGGTACGTCTTCAGTCTTCATGCCCCTGCGATCAGCCTGGCACCTCCCCTTATTCCCCCCCTCCCCCC